AGAATGTTACAGAGGCTAGTGACAGCCACACGTTAAAATTTTGAGAGGCAAGGCGACTGATCGGGACCGACACCCCTTACTGGAGTGTGGCCCCCAACAGTGAGTTACGCAGCTCTTTATAGAATTCGTCCACTAGGGCTCACAATTTTGAAATTTCTTGTCACGCAGTTACCAGACCTAGGATATAGTTGTAAGATAAACATGGTGAGGCACATTTCTTTAATCTCAGACAGAACACTGGGCTGGGCCTTTTCCCGGTTCTTGGAATTGGCTCCATACGGCAGTCCCTGGAATTTGCCCCACGCAGTTTCACAAGATAGCCATTAGCAAGCAAGCAAACAAGACTGATCTTTACAGAGCGGGAAATCATCCGGTTAGCTCTTAGCCACACTTACTCCATTTTGATTTCAACTCTACACTGGGGTGTGTGTGTCTCTCCTTAGCAGTGTTGCAGGATCTTGGAGGGAGGAGGTGCCCACGGCCCCCTGGGGACCGCAAGGCCTGCCCTGTGACCCAGGAGCTCAGCACTCACTCGGGGAGGGGGCAGTCCCACCCAGCAGGACTCCTCTCCTGGCCCAGACCCACAACCCAAACAACGGGAAATGGCTCCGTTCCACCTTCAGTTCACAAGGCATTTGCTGCCCGCCGTTCACCTGTTAGCAAGCTAAGGCAGCTGGTTCTTCCTTGGAAACTTCCACGAGCTTCCTGGGGCTGCAAGACACCCTAGCGCGACCCCTGGGCCTGCAGGGTTCACACCTGGTCCCTCTGAGAGCAGGGACCCGGCTGGGTTTGCCCCACGGGAAGGTGCGCCCAGGGCCAGAGCCACCTGGTGTGTCTCGCCGTAGGCTTCTGTCCTCGGAGGGGGTGCTGTGTCCCAGGGCCTGTGGGACACCCATCCGAGGGCCTTGGAGGAGCAGCTGTCCCACGCCCTGTGCATCTGCAACAGGGGCCGGGAGGCAGGTGGGGAAGGAGCTGGGTTTCTCTCCGGAGGGGAGGGGACTCATTTCTCTCCTCCTCCTAGGCCCTTGGCGAGTCTGGTCTGGCCCAGCATCCGACAGGAAAGAACCTTTTGTTCTGAGCTTGTAGGAAGTCTGCGCAGCATTTCCTGGATGGGGGTCCGGGCCGGGCTGCCGGGGGTGGGGGTGGGGCTGGCTCCCAGCCTAGCGCTGCCCTTAGCACTTGGGACAGGGGAGGCTGCGGACGACGAGGCCCAGGCCTCCACGAGAGGCTGGTGGGATACTTCCCCTTAGCGGGCCTGCCTGTGTGTGCGCTTCGCAGGCCGGGCCTCCCGACTTGGGAAAATGCGGGCAAAAAATCCGCTCACCACCTTGTGTGCGCGTGCGGTGTGGGGGCTGGAGCCAAGGGAAGGGGCTGGTCCCGGCCCTGTCGGTGCAGTGACACCTCCCGCCGCGGGGCGGGGACACGAGGGCGCCTTTTCAAGGCTCGCGGGCCGCGGTGCTGAGCCAGGCCGGGCCGCGTCTGACACCTGGCGGCCTGCGGAGCTCGGAGCGGGAAGACGAGGACAGCGTGGAGCCGGAGAACCAGGAAGCCCGGAGGCGAGGCCAGGGAGGGGCGCCCGCACCTCGCTCCCGACTTCGTCCCCCAGGCTCGGACCACCCCGGTGCGCCCCTCGCTTCGCCCGCGGCTACGCAGTCGGGCCCCTCAGGTCACCCGAACTCAGGTCCAGAGGCTGGGGTCCTGGTGGCCCCGCACCGCAGCCCCGCACCGGGCAGCTGGGTTCGGGCGCTGCACCTGAGGACCCACCGGCACCCTCGGTCCCTGGCACGTGCGGGACAGCCTGGGGAGCGCCTCCTGGGGGAGCGCGTCGTGGGCACTTCCGGCCGCGGACACGCTCCCCCGCGGCCCGCCCGCCGCCGGTCGCCATGGCGACGCCGTCGCGCCGAGGCCCGCGCGCCGGCTGGGAGGCTGGCGCGGCCCGCGGAACCGGCAGAGCGGCCGGGGCGCGGCGCGGCGACGCTCGCAGGCCGGGCAGCGGCGGCGCGGCGGGACGAGGTAGGCGGCGCGGGCGGCGCGGTGGGAGCAGAGCCCCAGCGCCGAGGGGAGGCGGCCCCGGGACGGGCGGGGGGCGGGGGCGAGGCGCCCAGGTGTGCGGGGAACGGCGGGCCCGGCCGGGCCGGACCAGGCCTTCCTCTTCCTGCACCTGCCCTGCACCTGTCCCAGCGTCGCGCCCGCTTCCTGGCTCTGCCGAGTCCCCGCGGAGTGAGCGTGCGGGCTGCTGGCGACCCCAAGTTTAAACCCCTGGGCCCGCAGCCATGTTGTAGGACGAGGTAGGGTGGAGGTGGCTCAGCCAAGCCCCGGCCACGACTGTGCTTCCTTCGGAAACCTGAAACCTGGCCGTCAACGCCGCAGGGTCGTGGGTGGACACGTCCCAGGCCCGAGGGGAGGCGCCTTCGTGTTCTGCTCCACACCCCAGCCTCTCGGCGTCGGCGCAGGGGGTTTCTAGCCGAGGAAAGCCCGGCTCCTCGGTTGGCCTCGGGGGCCCTGGACGCCGGGTACAGCCGGCGGGGAACTGCACTGAGCGGGCACCTGCTGCTGCCCAGGGCGCGGGGCCCCCTCCCCTCCCTGCCTGGCACGGCCGCGGAGGAGCCGTGGGGCCCCGGGGTCCCGGGCGCGCCTTCGGAGACCCCTGCCTAGGCTTTGCTGCCTCTGATTGTCCCCCTCTTTCTCGAACCTTCCACGGTGGCAGCCTTTGAGAATTTTCTAAGACTTATGAAATGAAGCTCCATCTTCCGTCGCCCGGATCCTGCTTGTTTTCATAGCAAGTGAAGCAAAAACAGAAAACAGGGTTTTGCCCACCTCGGCTGAATGCCTTGCTTAGGGGAGAAACTGGATCGAGGCAGGGAAACACCGGGCAGCCCCAGCCCCTAGTAGGGGGAGCCTCCTGCGGCCCGCGGTGGACCCCCTCCTCGGCAGCTGGGTCAGCCTCTTGCCGGGGGAGCAGCAGGAAACATCAGCGGCTGCCCCAGCCTGGCGTCCCTGGGCTCTGCTCTCTGACCGGCGCGGACTCGAGCTGCTGCAGATTCAAGGCAGGGCACCCTGCATCCTGCAGCCCCCAGAGTGCCTGCCCTGCGCCGGAGCGGGAGTGGGGATTCGTTGGAGGCGGTGGGACTGTCGCAGCCCCCTTGCAAAGTTCGTCTCTTCTGATTTAAGCCCAGGGCGTCCTCCCACTGTGACGGAGAAACCTTGGGCTTGGGGCTTTCTTCCTGGCGGCCAGCTCAGCGCTTGCTTTGCCTTTGTCATCCCAGCGAGGGCATTCTGGGGAAACTGAGCCACTTCCCCCTCACGCGCAAAGACCCGACCCAGTCCCCGCCCTCACCGAAATCTTTTCTAACTTAATTAAAAGCCTGCTGCTGATGTCGAAGCCCCGGGCCAAGCCAGGCCGTTGGAGCGCCCTCTGTGCCCCGGGCTGCCCATCGAGCGCAGTGTCTGGTCCCCACTAACGAGATTTGGCCCGGTTGCCTTTTTAATAAGACAGTGGGCACAGGGAGGGGGAGTGCTGCCCTGCGCAGGTTTCGCCCTGCGGGCAGCTGTGTCCCTGTTTAATTACATTAAATGGAGACTGACTGCAGGTGGGGGTGGGGCCAGTGGCTGTCACAGCCTCAGCCTGAGGGTCAGAAGCTGCGGGAGTTCTGTCCCCCCCCCACCCTGTGCTCTCAGGAGGGGAGGGGCCACAGGTCGCAGAGGTGACAGGTCATGGGTCACGGGTCCCACGTCTCAGGGTGGAGAAGGGCTGCTTCCAGGCGCTGGAAGCTGTTGCCTGCAGGTCTGCTCTGGGCACAGAGGCCTGGGGCTGGCCACCCACTTAGGAGGGAGGGTGCACACTGGGAGCGCGAGCCCAGGGTCTGCAGAGCGTAGACGCTCCTTGAAGTGATGGGGTGGGTGCCGGCAGCTCGGGCTGCCGGTTGGATGAACCGGAAGGGGAATGGTGGGGGAGGCCTCTGGCCAACCAGGTCTTTCGGTGCGGCCTCCAGGCCTCCGCGAAGCACAGCCTCTCCCTGCTGCGCCTCTTTTCTCAGTCTGGATTTCCACACTTAGAACCCCCTGGGGGCTGAGCGGGCCTGCCGGGGCACAGGACTCTTCACCTTCAAGTCAGAAGGGGACCCCGCAGTACCGAAGCTCCTGCCGGACCTCAGTTTTCCTCCCAGTGAGCCGGAGGGCTTGCAAGCGTAGGCGTTTGGCAGGTAAGACGCTGCCTGGGACCCACGCCCACATCTGCGTGGGATCGAGTCCCCCCTCTTCCAATCCAGGTTCCGGTTGGTGCGCACCCTGGGCGGCAGGGGGTGGCTCAAGTACTTGGATCTCAGCCTCGCGCGTGGGAGATCTGGATAGATTTCTGGGCTCTTGCCTTTGCCCTGCCCCGGCCCTGGCCCTTTCGGGGACTGGGGAGTGAACCAGCAGATGGAAGATCTGGGTCTGTTTCTCTCTGTCAGCCTTCCAAATAAAATGAATACATATTAAAAAAAAAAAAAAAGAAAATTCCCCAGCCCCTCACTGCCTGGAGCCCTCTCTGTCTCTGCTGCCCACCGTGGCCTGCCCCTTTCTCCTGGCAGAGCAAGCCGGGTAGGGGCGGTCGCAGGAGGGCAGCACGTGAGGGTCAGCTTGCCCAGGGCCCTTGGTCTGAGCGGCTCCCCCCACACCCATGGTCTCAGGTCCTTTGCTGCAGCCTGGGGGTCTAGCACGGGGTCTGAGAGCGCGCGAAGCCACAACCCTAGCAGGCAACGGGCCCTGGAGTGCCCAGGGCGTGCCGCCTGCAGTGGGGGTGCTCTCTTCACTGTGTGTGGTGCGGACAGTGCTGCGTTCTTACCCCTTCCCAGCTGCAGGGCCCCCACAGCCGGCACCGAGCCTCGCGGCGAGCCCTGGGGCCTGTTTGACAGCTGCTGGTGGCTGGCAGTCTGGGGCCTGTTGCCAGCTCTCGGAGGTCGTCTTTCCTTACCCGTCGACTCGGGGCAAGTTTCCTGTGGTTCTCCCGGGGCCGTTCCGAGGGTTCGGTGACAGTGCGTGGTGCCCAGGGCTCCCAGCTCTGGGGTCCCCACCCAAGGCCCAGCATGGGTCTCACCCTGCCATGGCAGCACCAGGGCGCCGGCTTCCTGCAGGACTCAGGGTGTCCATTCTGGGGCAGGGTTGTCGCTGTGAGCAGACCCCCTGATTTCTGGCGGTGGGGGGACATTCCTTGCTGCCCTGTGCTCCCAGCCCTGCCCTTTGTATCCTAGTGGCATAAAGGGGTTGTGACAGGTGCAGCAGCCTCGGGTGATGTTCCTCCTAATTTGGAGCTAATCAGATTGTGACTGCACTCTGGGGACAGACAGATCCAATAAAGGAGGCAGGGGCCCGGGAGGGAGGACGGCGTGGCTCCCTGCAGGAGAGTGGGGCGAGCTGTTAGGTACGTGGCTTCCGGGGGGAGTGGGGCTCTCCCGGCCTGCGAGGAGCTCACAGGGGCTTGCAGAGACTGAGCCGGAAGAGGGGAGAAGCCGTGCTGGTGCGAGGACAGCGCTGGACGGTGTGTCCTTGTGGGGCCTGGGGTGGCTGGGGGAGGAGGGGACAGTGCCAGCAGGTCACCTGTGTCCAGCGGACAGGGGCAGAACCCAGTGGGGCTGCAGGTGGAAGCAGAGCTGGGGCCGTGCTCTGCAGGCCTTGGGGAGCTGCGTCTGTTCCTGGCTTGCTGGGCAGATTAAGGAGGGGGGAGCTACAGGCCTGGCTTGGGGGTGGCACGGAGATGCTGGAGAGGGAAGTGGTGGGGAGCCGGGCAGGCACAGGACGACGGTCACCCTGGGAGCCTGTCCGGTTTTGTGTGGGTTCGCCTGGCTGTGCCTGGCGCCCGTCCAGGGAGAGTGGCCTGGCAGCCCTGTAGTGTCCTGGGCGGGAAACCCGTGTCCTGAGCCCCGCAGGAAGCCAGCGCCCTGGTGCTGTTTGCACCCCTTGCCCCACTCCACGCCAGGGTGAGACCCTTGCTGGGGGTGCATCAGGAGGGTGGGCACCCTGCAGCTGGATTTGGGGGAGGACAGAACTGGCCCTAGAGGTGACAAATAAGGACAAAAGCAAGAGTTCCAGAAACAAGGGTTCACTGTTTGCCAGGGCTACTGGAAACCCGAACCCTGGGGGCGTGGCCTGGGCTGTTCTGGAAGATTGAGGGAAGGTACCTGCACCTGCCAGAGCCCCCCCCCCCCCCCCCCCGTTTGGGCCGAGCGGGAGGGCCGTTTATTTGGTGAACAGCTGGAAGCTGGAACCTGGGACTCGTTCAGAGACGGAGCAGCTGCGCGGGCAGTGGGTGGCATTGCTCCCGTGATGAGGTTGGCTAAGAGAAGCGAGTGTGATAGACCTTATGCTAAGGGAAAGGTTAGAGAAGCTATGATCCCGTTTCTGTAGAACAATGTGTGTTTCTGGGGAAAAAGGTATGTAAGGATATAAACCGGATGTTGGCGACTCCTAAGTGGTTTTTTTTGGCGTATCTGTATGACTGCCGGGAGGGTGTGTTGTTTACACTGTGCCCGCGCCTGAGTCAGTGCTGGTGTCACAGCTGCCACAGAGTCTGTGCCGGCTGCTGCTGGTGGCAGCGCCCTTCTGTGGGCACAGGGCACTGCCAGCACCCCAGTAAAGGGAGAGGCGGCCAGAGCCAGCCCCATCTCCTCCCATCCCAGCCGCCCCGGGGCCAGGCCAGGGCAGGGTCTGGAGAACCGGCAGGCAGGGCCAAGAGTCGGGGGTGGCAGGGCAGGGTCTGGAGAACCGGCAGGCAGGGCCAAGAGTCGGGGGTGGCAGGGCAGGGTCTGGAGAACCGGCAGGCAGGGCCAAGAGTCGGGGGCGGGGGGGGGGTCCCCTGAGCAGGGCTCACTTGCTCTTGCCCGCAGGGTCCCCGTGTCTGCAGCTGTTGGTCCCCGCCTCTGCTCGGTACCTGCAGAGAAAGTGGATCTGGGCGCCTGCGGGGCCCGCACAGGGGGCTTCCGCTGGCGGGGTGCAGGATCTCCATTTCTCACCCCAGGGCCTTTGCTCATGTCCCTGTAATTCACGCAGGAGCTCCTCTGGGGTCGAGTGCGGTGCGGGGGGGGGGGGGGCTTTTGACAGAGCCGGAGTGGGAGGGGCGTGGCTTCGGCATGGGGTGTGGGGGCGAGGGGGGACGCAGCTCCTGGAGGCCTGGGCTGCGCCTCTGAGCCCTGCGTCTTTCCCACAGCGGCTGCCTCAGCATGGACGGCGTGGCACCTGCCCCTGGCGCGCTGCCCTACTACGTGGCCCTCTCCCAGCTGCTGGGCCTAACCGTGGTGGCCATGACAGGCGCTTGGCTGGGCGTGTACCGAGGTGGCATCGCCTGGGAGAGTGCCCTGCAGTTTAACGTGCACCCCTTGTGCATGGTCATAGGCCTGGTCTTCCTGCAGGGAGACGGTGAGTGCTGAGGCTGGTGGGCGTCGCTAGCAGGGGCAGTTTGCAGGGCAAACCTGAGATTCCAGAAAATGCAGAGAAGGAAGCTGGCCTAGAGCCTGGGAGACAGAATCTGAATCAGCCCTGAGGTTGGTGGGTGGCAGCTGCTGTCCAGAGCAGAGCGCCAGGGCCGGGCCACGAGCTGCAGCCTCCTCTTCAGGGCGGGGATGCAATGGAGGGGGGGGGGGGAGTGTGCGTTGACCGTGGACTTGGTGGTGCTGGGCCACCTCTCTCTGGGGTGGGAGCAAGGCAGTGCTTGGCCTCCCCTGCCCCCAGGCCAGGGAGTGGGGAGCTGGATCTGTAGCCAGTGGACTTCCTCCGGGAGGTGGTCCTGGTGACAGCAGAATCATCAGGGGTCTTCCCCAGGCCACCTGGCCCTGCCCCGGGGAAGCCGGACCCTGTGAGGGGGGAGGAGGGGAGGGGCACGGAGCATGCGCCCTGAAAGCAGCAACGCTCTCATCTGGCTTCCAAATGGGGAGGAGCAACCCAGCTACACGGTGAATCAAAATTCGTGTTCACTGCACGGTGGACCCCAGACCTGGCCGCCAGTCCACAGGACACCTGCTGAGAGGGCAGGGCGGCCAGAGTGGCCGGGACTGCAGCTTTGAGGCGGCAGGGCTGGGTCTAAGACTCCCACTCCCAGCTCACTGGGTGGGGGGAGGGAGGCGGGTGAGGCCCCCACCGCCCGCGGAGCTGCCAGGGCCCCAGGGAGCCTCGTTTTCCCTCCCGATTCCCGGCTCGGTGCACCCTCACTCAGCTGCCCCCCCCCCCCCCCCGGAGGGAGCCTCTGCCCTATTCTATTGCAAAATGACCCCGGGGCGGGCCTCGTCGCGGAAAACCCCCCTTCCAAACCCCCCACCCCCGGGTAGTTCCCCCCGCTGCTCTGGAAGAGGACCAAAGACCCCACCAAAGAGGGGGAGGGAGGGTTGGCAGGCTTCCGCCTTTTGCATAGTGTCGGGGGAGGAACCTGGGGGCCCAAGGGAGGCCTCCCCACTCTTGGGGAAGACCCGGAAACATAGGCCCTGTGGCTTGAGGTGCCCTTAAAGATTCGCACTCGGGGATACCCGGGCTTGGACCCCAAAAAGAGGGTTCAACACTATGGGTTTTTCTGCAGGGACCCCCCCAAAGGGGCCTCTCCCCCATAGCACAGCTTTTGACCCCACAGGGCCGAGAGCATTCAGCGCACGGTTTGGGGGGGCCGGGTTTTTTACTTCACCCCAAAAAAAAAATGATCATCCGACACATCTCTTGCAGTCTTCCAACG